CAGCACCAGAATTCAGGACTCTCTGTCTCCGTCTTCTGTATCTATTCAATAAGTTCATGTTGCTTTGGTTTTGTAGTCGCTCTGAGCACCAGGTGGCTGTTTAGTCTGTTCTTTTTTTAGTACATGAAATCTCTGTTTTCTTTGCCTGTATTTCGACCCCATTCTTTCTTTTTTCTTCATGCTTTCTTCTCTCTGTTTTATCTGTTTTGTTTTGTGCAGCTCTTGGCGTTCTGCTCGTTCTGCACCTCGGTGAGTATCGGCTTTGACAGAATCTTCTTCAAACACAAACACCAGCAAAGTTTCAGAATGAATGCAAAGTCTTTGCTGCTCTCTCTCCATCTTCTCTCAGCTTCCTCCAGTAAGCTGGTGTGCCACATGACCAACTGGGCCCAGTACAGACCCAGCATTGCCAAATTCACCCCACAAAACATCGACCCCTTCCTGTGCACCCACGTCATCTACGCTGTGGCCACCATCAACAGCTTCAACCAACTCACCACCGTCGAGTGGAATGATGAGCAGCACTACGGCGCACTCAGCAACCTCAAGAATGCGTGAGTTTACCGTAACAGTCAGCCAGTCTGGACTCCAATGCTGCTTACTACCAGTATTCTATTTTTTTCAGTATATTTACTGCTAGTTAATAGTAGTCTACATCCATTTTCAAATCAGGTTCATATTCAGCATTTCATCCAGGGTTGTGCTTTTAAAATAATATTTAGAACTAGAACAAGAACTCTTTGTATCCATTCCAGTACTTTAAAATTCACATTAATTTATGATTACTTCACAAATGTCTTATTTATTTTGCTTCTAAAAGCACAAGGAAGGCAGAAATAACATATTTCCTAATTTTATCAGATTATCAGAAGTCCACGATGCTGCTGGGCAGTAACAAAAACTCAGACTGGACAGTGTTGGTCCATATCTAAGTCCAGTGAGCGACTGTCACCATATCAGCTATGTCTTAGAATCTGTAAAGGCCCAATTACAACCCAGTAAAATCCAATATATTGATATATTTGTAGCAACACAACACAGCAGCAGACAAACATGAGGTATTCATTTGTAATGAGATTACTTTGGGAGGACAGTCTGAAACATAAAGTATGACTGACATTACAAACTCCAGTCTCATAGTTCCACATTTGTGTTTAGCTGCATTCTATAACTGCAATCTTCTACTAGGTGTTCAGCAGGTCCAGTAAAGAGATTATTATATCCATCTAAATGTGAAGATATAACATGTACTTACAGTCAATGAAAAAGTTTTTCAGGCTCTAACCTTCAGGCATGTTTTCAGGTAAAGAACAGAATCAAGCCAAACAATGGCAGCAGTAGTAGAAGTTCATTTAGATATTTTTATATGAAAATGAATTAAATTAATAAATGAAAATAATATATTAAAAAAAGAAATGGGCTCATGTAGTTACAGGAAAGGTGGATAGCAGTGTTATTTTCAGTGACAACTTTATTTTTTAACATAAAGGAACATTCATAAACTGCATGAGAGGCATCAGGAGGCGGCTGCATACACACTATACACCAGTACCAGGATTTACATCCAGACTCCCATCGGTTGCTTAGGCAACATGAGCCTTATGGTGAAAGTCGGTGGTGATTTTTGAGAACCGTAAAAGTTTCATTATGTTATTAAGTACAGGAGGATGAGTCTTATTATGTTATGTGCAGAATAAACAATGAAGTACAGGATGTAATATATGCAGTGTAAAAGCATTAAATATGGCCAGACTTAGACATCATGTGGAGCTAAGAGTTGTCCTAAAAACAAACAAGTGTCTATTTTTTCAGAAATGTCCCCAACAGCGAAGAACCTGAACTTTGTTTCTGGGTCTTAGAACCAAAACAAAATCCATAACTGTTTAACTGTAAGAACCAGCGAAGAATAATTTTACATTTTCTAGCTAGCCAGTGAAGTTATAAAATACAGAGTTACATCATCAGCATATGTTTGGTTGTAAAGTTTGTGTTATCTCTCTCTGTTTCTAGCAATCCTGCACTGCAGACTCTGCTGTCTGTTGGAGGCACAATCAATGGAATGAGCCCGTAAATCCACTTTTACACTAGTTATCACAATTTTTTTTCCACATTTAACTCAGGAGGTGAAAAATCTTCCTCTACCACTGCTTTGCCAGAACAGAGGTCATAGTTATGTGTTTTTTCTGTCCCACCAGATTTATTGCCATGGTCTCCAAAGCTGAGAGTCGTACAACCTTTGTCAGGTCCGCCATCAGCTTCCTGCGCACTCATAACTTTGATGGGCTGAACCTGGCTTGGGAATATCCTGGACAAAATGGCAGCCCAGCAGAGGACAGGGAGAGGTTCACTCTGCTGGTTGCGGTAAGAGTGGTCCTTATTTTCTAAAATGATTTAATGCAGCAGTGTTTTTCCAATAAGTCTATTCCAAAAGAAGTATTTTTGGAACCAGACTAAAAAAAAAATTACTGCTAGTTGTTGAACTCCTGCGTAACAAATGCATTACAAGCTTTTGTTTGTGGGAAAAAATTCCCATTCCCAGTCAAATGATACTGTACTTGCAGCTTTCATTCCATTAATCTCAGTGTCTACATTGTGGCTCCACAGGGAATACATGTGCGCTTGATTGTAGACCTCGCAAAAGTATTACATAAAAACATGGTACTCAATAGCCAATCAGTAATAATGAATGACTAGACCTACTGCAGTGAGATGCCTCATTGTACCCGGTCCTGGTCAAAACCCACTCAGTGATGTAGCTGGAAGCAGACAGAAGGCTGAATCTAAAATAATAATAATAACTAGAGAGCACAGACCTCCACCAAGCTGCTCATTTCCACCATATTGTGATTTCCAGCCAATGTTAAAGTCCTGCATTCATTTTATCTACACTATTAGATTCATGGATAATCAAAACAAACATTTAGCATTTGAATTAACATTGACATGATTAATAACAAGCTGACTGAGTGATGAACGGTCGTTCTGTACTCTCACATATTTTGTACAGGTTATTTCTGCAGTTACATACTGGCTTTTAAGCTGCTAGCTAACGCGATGCTAGGTTGGCATAACGACAGCAATGTTATTGCTAACATAAACAGACAGCGAGTAACTTAAGCTAGGTTAGCACAACTTCAGCAATGCAATGTAAATGAAAAGCATGACCAACGACCAATGGAGCATGCGTCACTTGTCACAACACATGGCAAACAGAGTTAAAGTCAAACAGGAGACATGTAGAGTCATTGTTAATGTCACAACATGGTTATGAGCTTATGTGTCAGTAGCTCCGCTCAGCCCACTCCTGTAATGCTGCCTGGCTGTATTTTACTCCTGTGCTACTGAGAAGACAGCGGTGAGGACTGAAGGACTGAATGGAGTCAGAGCTCCATCTAGTGGACAAACGGTGCAACGACAGCATTCTACGCCACTGTGACACATAATAGCATTTTCTGTTTTATGAGAAAATAACCAGATGGTACCATCTCCAAAATTTAATCATCTGTTCATTGTGCCATTATCAACGTTTCAACAAAATTTCATGAAAATGCGGTGGCAACTTTTCAAGTTATCCTGCTAACAAACAAACAAACAGACAGATAAACGCTGGCTAAAGCATAACCTCCTTGGCAGAAGTAATAACAATAATAATAATAATAATAATAATAATAATAATACTTAAATAGTACCTTTCAAGGGAGGCAAAAATGCAATAAATAAATAAAAATAATTGAGAAAAGGGCAAATAGAGCCAGTGGAGGTTGTGTAGGATGGGGCTGGTGCTATCATGGGTGTGGGAGTGGGTGAGCAGGCGAGTAGCAGAATTCTTGATGTACTGAAGTTTGTTGAATCTGAGGTGTGTTTATCTGCCTGCAGGAGCTAGCCAAGGCCTTTGAGGATGATGCCAAAGAAAACAGGAGGACTCGGTTGCTGCTGTCGGCCAATGTTGCTGGATTGCGTGAAACCATTAACCAAGGATATGAAGTCGACAAAATTTCAGCGTAAGTTTCAAAAAAAATTTTTAAAAATACATAAATAAAAAGGTTGTATATATGTTGTTCCTTGCTATAGAAAGAGTTCTGTTGTTATTCTGAACAGAAAAACTTTACGCTCAACAGCTACCTTGACTTCATGAATGTCATGACCTACGACTACCATGGATCCTGGGAGAAAGTTACTGGACACAACAGCCCACTGTACCAGAGTCCCCTGGACGCTGGCTCAATCGCTCATCACAACATAGTAAGAACCAAACTAACACATCTTAACCACACAAGCACTGGAATGCTTTCATTATTACCGTACAATTGAAAGAAAAAAAGAAGAAGGAAATGGACAAATACTGTGTTTTTCACACTAATGCAAAAAGAAAGAAAAAAAAACTTGAAACAACAAGTACTGCAATAATAGTCCATTTTAGACTAACTGAACAAAAGCTATTAGAATTTTTCAGCCTTTAAAACTTTGTCCCATGTAAACTTTAAAACTGAATTTACGAACTTGTCACCCCTAGGGGGCAGAAAGAGTCTTAAGACCTTCTACAAATACCATAATATTCTATTGGATGTCTGCGTATGTGCACCTGCAGCAAACAGTTGTCTACTTGTCTACTCAAAAAACTCAGCAGTATAGCTTCCTTCTGGAGATGTATTTCACATTCACTTTAGTTGATTTGAACACTGGTTTAGAAAAGTATTGGTCTCTTTAGCTATTAGACCTTTAAACCCAACAGTGAGCTGACTGCTGTGGAGTTAGCTGCTCATTCACACTTGGATTGACAGTATTGGTAGACCTTGGCAGATCTTATTCATTGTTAATATCAGAAATGCTAAATGCCATACAACTTATCTCCTCGTTCTTTTCTCAGAACTCTTCTATCTCCCACTGGATCTCTTTGGGAGCTTCAGCTGAGAAGCTGCTGCTGGGTTTCTCAACATATGGACGAACCTTCCGTCTTACCAGTGGTGCTAATGGCCTGGGAGCACCAGCCAATGGCCCTGCAGATGAGGGACCCTACACTCGCACTGCTGGTTTCTGGTCTTACTATGAGGTAGAGCATGATCATTTAAAGCTCAGCTTAGCTTGTGTTGAAAGAAAGTAATTCCCCTGATGTTACAGTGTGAACGCTCCCTGATCACTGGATCCATTCGGACAAAAGTCTGTTATCAAAGAAACGCTAAATTCAGAACAGAAGATGTATTGTGGTTACTGCTGCTTTTGCCATCTAACATGAAAATTATCTGTGGTCACTGACATTTATTCATAAAGGACATGTATCTCTGAACAAGTATATGGATTAGAAATATAAAAATAAGGGTGGAATTAGTAAAGATAGTAAAGATAATTTACAGTGTCCCCACCTCAGTCCCCATGTTGTTGTCTGATCTGTTTCTGTGTTTCTGTATTACCAGGTCTGTGACTTCATCAACGCTGCTCATGTTGGATGGATTACTGAACAGAAGGTTCCATATGCCACCTATGGCAGCTCCTGGGTGGGCTATGATGACAGGTCCAGCTATTCTTACAAGGTGACCAAGAGCTGTATTTTTACCTGCTTCAAACAAGAGAAGTTTTCCTTTTTCACCATTCGGTCTACTCCATAGGGTTGTAGCTATTTTAATAGATTAATCATGTTTTTTTTTTTTTACCTGTGTGGTCATCCTGTAGGTCCAATGGATGACTGCCAACAAGTTGGGAGGTGCTCATGTGTGGACAATGGACATGGATGACTTTACCGGAACCTTCTGCTCAGCTGGAGCTTATCCTCTCATCAACCACCTCAGGATGTCAATGGGTAAATACTGCAGTTCAGCCAACCCCAGCACTTTTTGTATTAGCGTTTTTATTTGGTCGGCCCACTGAAAGTGGTCACAGACATGTGAAAACATTCCATAGTGGATTTCAGTATGTGATATGTGTTCATAGAAATATGTATTTTAGTTTTGGTGCACTTTGTTGTCACATGCCAGAGAAAGTTAGTTTAGGCCCTATTTATTCTGTGAATAATTTTTATTTCTCCATGTCTGATAACACAGGCTTCGCTCCAAAGCCCACCACCACACCAGCCCCTACCACCACCAGGGACCCACTCGCTGACTTCTGCCGGGGACGCCCCGATGGTTTGTACGAGAACACAGCTGACAAGACCACTTACTTCCAGTGCTTCCAGGGAAACACCTACCTGCACTACTGCCAGCCCGGACTCATCTACTGGGACTCCTGCAAGTGCTGCAACTGGCCCTGAACCACAGAAACATGAACACCAAAACTACAGCGAGTCCATGAATGTATAAGGCAGTGAATAACGTCTCAGATCAGTCTTTTCACAGCTTGCACTGATTAACCTGTCTTACAACAATAACAGGAAATAAATCAGCTCTGTCTGCTACTGCACTGCTCGGTTAACCACAGAAAAAATAAACACTTTGTATCTATAGTCCAGATTTTTTTCTATCTTTCTTGGGTGGAAAGTTTCTTGACATGTTGGTTATATTTTGAACATGTAACTGCTTTAACCCTTTGGTGCACAACATGGGTCCAAAAGGACCCAACAGAGTTTTTATGTATTATATCTTTTCAATAAATTAATTTCATCATGCAGTATTTCGTCCATCATTTACTATTTCAAGTATTCAGTAAATATTCTGGGTTTTTTGGTTTAGCGCAGACAGCCAGATTTATTTTTCCTTTCTTACTTTATGAGCTAACATAGCTTTTGTATATTTACATCAAGTTTACATGCATGGGTCAGAAATGACCCACATGAATTTACTCTGGTATTTGGTGCGAACCTTGGAAATTTTTACATGTTTGTAATTAGGAAAGTTTTTACTGCGAACACCTATTCACCTGCCACACATTTCACAGATCAGCACACCTCCCTTTGCACATCTGATATTTCTAAGTCTTGTTTTATAATTATTCTAATCTTACCTAAGGAGATATTTAATGACTTGTGAAAGGTAGTTGATTAAGTTACCTTGTCAGTAAGCACAATACTTGTCAGAAAGGGATATATTTTCAATACTGTTAGCTTGCTAGCTGTTGACATCTTCTATTGTTGTTAGCTAAGCTATCTTAGGGAGGTCACCAGAATGAAACTCAAACTAGTGTGACAGTTGACAGGCCCTGTCACCCGAAATGCTTCCCATTAACAATGCACCCTGGCTGCTGCACTATCTGGTCTGGCTCTTTGAAGACGTGGTTAGTGCAAATGATTCATACCTGGGAGGCTGGGATTTGAAACTCGCCCAGGGCTGCCACACCAGAAACATATATTGATGTGCATTTTAAAATATTTGTGCTTTGGATACTCATATTTAGAGATTTTGCAGATTTACTGCTTAAATGGTTGTAGAGATGCTGCATGAGGGACCAGATGATGAAGATGAGGAGGCAATTGGTTTTGATTCTGAGTCTGAACTCTCTGGTGATGATGTCGACCCAGTCTATGCCTCAGGGTCAAGCTGGAGTTGTGGGGTGGGTGTGTCTTGGAATCCTGCTCTCCTGAATAAAGAAGATTCATCTGATGAGTCCTCTGAAGAGGAAACTCAGACCCAGTCAAATAGATTGGGTAAAAATAGGTCTTACTGGAATGACTCAGGGCAGAACAAGAAGTCATAACATTCTGAGCAGCTGCCCAGGACCTACACCTGGATCAGCAGATGATTCACCAAAAGATGCCTGGGATATGTTCATCAGTGACAACATCACTGAGGAGGTAAAGTTCAAGTCAAGGCTTCACTGGGATGTAAGAATTAAGGTGGCAGTTTGTGGTCTACTGTTTGATCAGTTGAGTTTTATTTTATTTGGCTACATTTGCAGTTTGGTTCAATAGCTGTGCTATCTGTTATCAGAGGAATGGGCATGTGTGACAAAATGACAAATAAACATGTTTCAAATATTAAATGTATTACTGTTTGGCCCAAAACACTGCTAAAGTGGTTATTTGAAGCAAATTATTATTGTAGTATGACGTCATTTAATTCAAAATCACACTTGGATAAACGGGTCATTTTGGACTCGTGTGAAGGTTCTGTCAAAGGCTGGATCCAAAAATGCAACTCTGAGTTAGTGAGTGAAAACAAGAGGAATTTATTGTGAACAACAGCAGGGAGCCAAGGCACACCGGGGAGCTTGTGAAGGTAGCCAATGGGGCGAGGGAAATCCTGGGAAGTTTCCTGGGGGAGCTGGGAGGCGAGACAACACAGGCTGGCTCTGCAGGCTGAGCTGGGCGGGGAAGGCGGCAAGACGTTGGAGAGGTTCTGGCAATCGAAGACGAGAAACAAACATGAGACAAAGCAAGGTTTAAGCAAAGCACAAAGTTCACTGAGCACTGCTGGCTTGTTACCACGCGGGGGAGCTCAATCCACTGGTGCTGGAGCCCAGGTGGAGGCCGGCTTTATCCAGCGCTGATTGTGAATCCGCATCAGGTACGGAGGAGTGTGAGTGAATGCTTTCTCAATCAGGAACGCTCCGCCCAGCCTGAAAAGCAGGCAGCACAGCAACCACAAAAACAAAACACAAAAAACACCGTTCTACAGGCACAGAAACTCAGATATCCACACCATGTTGTGCATTAGAAGGGGGGTGTATTATTCCTTATTTAGACTAAATAATGTAAGTTATGTCGGTTCTTTATCCCAATCACTATCAAATTACAGCTTTGGTGGCCTCCCCCTTAGGTAGGGGCAACTGGGCAAGATGGCTGCTGACTGGTGAGAATTGCCTAACAGCTTTGGTTACGTGCCAAACAACTGGCTTCATGGTTAGCGTGCAAACATGAGAGAACTATCAGTCTTTTCTTCAACAATGTAAGCAATTTTCGTCCAAAGGCAACGTCATGGAGAAGAGGTCACCATGATCCGCTGTTCTGGTAACTACGGATGCCAGATGACTAGTTTCTCAGAATATGTGTGTGTGTGTGTGTGTGTGTGTGTGTGTGTGTGTCTGTGGCATTGTCGGCAGGATCCTGTTTTCCTAATCTCTCTATTTTTCACTCCAACAGCATCCTTTGGGGGGAAAAAAAAAAAAAAAACTCTTCAAGAGCTGCAAAATTGACTGAAAATGACTCACATTCCAAACATACATAGCTAAATTTACAGCCAACTTTATTCAATTCAATTTTATTTGTATAGTGTATGTCATCACATAGTGCTTAACATGGTAAGGTATAGACCTTACAAACTTAAATAGAGAACCCAACAATCCAAAGTAGCCTTTGGACTCCCTCTGAGCAAGCGGTTGGCAATGGTGGGAAAGAACCAAATCCAACCCCTCCTCCCTTGGGGGGGTTGGAAACCTGCAACAGAACCAGGCTCAGGGAAGGCGGCCATCTGCCTCGACCGGTTGGGTAAGAGTGTCGATGAGGCGGTGGGGATAGCAAAATAGCAGATGGACAACAAGCAATAGAACAGAACAATAAATATGAATCTGAATATTTTGGGGTCAGTGAGGTCAGCGGCTGCAGGTCAGAGACGTGAAGCTCCGGATCCAGAGACGTCCAGAGAGAGAACAAGCACAGGACCTCTGGGGAAACACAGAGTTAGTGATATGTAGTCGTGGTGTATGAATGTATGTATGTTAATGACCTGAGTGCAATACTTCAGGTGATAAAGTTCCTGGTCTGACAAAAAACCATAGACTGTATAAAAGATGGACGTAGCTACCGTGACGTCACCCGTTGGTTTCTGCACTGAGAAAATGAAGCCAGGGTTTTGCTACTTCCTGGTTGACATCTTGGATTTTTTGGAGCCAGTGACGCAAAAATCGTCGGAGGGGGGCGGAGCCATAGCAGCGATTGGTTAGATGGATTGAGAGGCGGGCCCTCTCTGCCCGCCCACATTTACCGCCTTCTGTTCGCTTCGTCTGCATCGTCGCTGTTGACTGTCAATCAAACCAGCCACGGCCCTTGCCCCGCAAAATGTTGACGTCATAAGGCAGAAGTGATGGGTTTTTATCATTGTATTGTTTTGCAGTGTTTATGCATGCTTTTATATTTATTTATGCATGATTTTACCTATTTTAACTTTTTGTGCCTCATGTTTTATTCTGTTTTTATTGTGCTTTACATTTGATGTTTTTATGTGCGTGCATGTAATACTGTGTTGACACACTTCTAGCCTTAATTGGACTTAATGAGGAGTAATCTGCACGTGTGGTCGAGCTGATGGACAGCATAACCAGCCACTAAGGGGAAGGAGAGGAGGACTCACGGCCAATCCGTGGCTGGGAGGAGGGCGCAACGGCAGAAACACAGGAAGGAAAGGCCCCACAGCAGAGGAAGAGGAGGTCAGCGCGTGGCAGCAGAGTCACACCTGTTCTGCAGTGTGGCAGCGACGGAAGTGAGAGAACCAGCCGAGACCAACGAGGGGTTTCCCCAGACGGTGCGACCGGGTTCTAAAGACTATCCACCAACGCCTGTTTCCTCTGGCCTGGGTCGCCAGTTTCGCTAGCGACCCGGGAAAACCGTGAGTAGTTTTTATCGATTCATTGGCGGCCTGTATGTGTCCTGAGGTGCTAGCTAAACCGCGCTCGTAATTGTGGACCGATACTCGCCAGTTGCCGTTTTTGTGTTCATAGAGGGCTGGGCCGGAGCCAAACACGTGGACTGTGGTGTGGCGCCAGGACTCCGCAGGAGCTGGGTGGACTGCATGAAAGAAGAAAGATTGTTACAGACTGGTAGGGCCTTGGCTGACTGTGGGTTGGGTGAAGGAAATATTCATTGTTTTATTAAATGCTTTTATTGTGATCCTTTGTCCCGGTGGTTATTTTAAAACTCTGCTCTGCTTGATTTTAAGAACCTGTTTGAGTCCTAGGCTCTCTCCTAGGTGATGTTGTCGTTTTTAGTTCTTTTAAAATATTATCAGTTTACAATAT